CTGTCAGTTTAGGTCTGACTTCAGTCTGGAGCTAGGGACGCTGGAGTTTTTAGGTCTTATGGTTGGCCCACCCAGCCCACAGCTGCCTGTGGGCAGATCCCAAACTAACTGAGATCAAGGCCCAAAGACACCTCCTGAGGGAGAACTCCTGGGGACCTGAAGTGATGTAGCTTGACAGTACTTTTTTTTTTGACTAGTACCTGCTATTTTGGGTTGGCAGTTTAATAATGGATATAACTGGCAAAACCCAAGAGAGCTCATATTTTTCTGCAGGGGTTGTGTTATTGTGGTTTAGAGCTAAATTATCAAATCAGACTGGATTCTGGTCCCAGGTCCTTTTCTTAATGGCTGTGGGATCTTGGGTGAATTTTTTTTTTTGAGCTGTGAAGTTGATTCCCTCCTCTATAAGAATAGAGGTGATGGTAATTGGTACAGCTGATATGCAGATGAAACGAGCTGGTAGATGGGAAGGAGTATAACACAATGATTTGCAAGAAAGTAAGGGTGCTAGACTGCCTAAGTTCAAACCTGGTTTAACTCATTAATAGTTGTAGGGTCTTTGGCAAGTGCCTTCACTTTTTTGTGCTTCATTTACCTCAACCATTAGAATTATTGTCTGGATTAAATGAGTGAACCTATATCTAGTAACTGAAAAGGAAGCTACCTCATTGAAGGCGTTTTTTAAATATCTACAGTTATTACTGTTGATACTTTGTATCAGTAGCCAAAGGCAATCCAGTGTGTTTTAATCACAGCTACTGTGTCCTTCTGAGTTCAGAAGAACTAGGGAGCTTGGAAAGTTTAGGATTCCTAGACGGGCCCAGAGAGCAGGCAAGTCCTTGGGGGCACTCTAGCCTGGAGGAAAGCAATTAGTTGTGGGCCTATAGGTGTTAAGTTTGAATCCTTGCTCAGACATTTGTTAGCTGATGTCTTGAGCAACTTATCTTTCTGTGCCTCACTTTAATCGAACAGCAAAATGTGAGAGTGCACTTCTGGATTATTTGACTGGGCTAGTTTCAGAGGTATCAGGCCATGGTCAAGTAGCTTTCTTGTTTTATTGGACTGAGATAAAGCTGAACATCATGGCAGAAAGGTAAGGTGGAGCAAAGTTTTCTATCTCACAGTAACCAGGAAGAAGAGAGAGACAGAAGAAAGAGACTTGGAGAAGATATACCCTCCAAGAACGTGCCCTCAGTGACCCACTTTTTCAAACTACGTGTCACCCTGTAGTTTTTAGCATCTCACAATAACATAACATGACCACATTACAAATCTATCAGTGGATTAATCTGTTGACTAGGCCAGAGTCATTATGCAGTTATCCCTTAATAATCATAGTTAGAAGCTGGGGACCAAGTTTCCAACACATGAGCCTTTTGGGAGAATACTTAAGATCCCAACCATTATTTATAAAGTACCTAGGACAGTGAATGAAGATGCTGTATACAACTTGCTTCTATTTGTCTGCAGAGGTGCAGTGAGTGTAAGGAGTAACTATTAGGATGAGCAGGGGAATGAGTGCAAGCTGCCAGGGTGAAACATGGGTGCTCTGATGGAAACAAAGACAGGGCGGGGCACCGATGGCTCATGCCTGTAATCCTAGCTACTCAGGAAGCTGAGATCTGAGGATCATGGTTCAAAGCCAGCCCAGGCAGGAAAAGTCCCTGAGACTCTTATCTCCAATAAACCACTAGAAAACTGGAAGTGGCGCTGTGGCTCAAGCAGTAGAGTGCTCTCCTTGAGCTTGAAGAGCTGGGGGACAATGCCCAGGCCCAGAGTTCAAGCCCCACAACTGACAAAAAAAAAAAAAGAAGCAAAGACAGGAAGACAAGAAGCTTGCAGGGAATTCTGGTGGCAGTGAGCAGATGAGATTAGATATCCTGGCAGGTGCCTGTAGACAGTGAAGAGGTTGAATATAAAGGTGAAGGGTGGATATTAGTTGCCATTAGAATTTGACATAAACTGCATTGTTGAGTGACAATGTGTATGGCTGCCTGAAGACTAGAATTTGACTTTTATTTTGCTGGCCATAGAGGATATAAATAATCCAGTAGGATGGATAAAGGGGAATTCAGGAAGATTTTGTTGTCTTCCCTTAGTGTCGAAAGCTATAAAATGAGTGGATGGGTCCAAAGGTCCTCTTTTTTTGCTGCTCTCCATTTCATATGTATCTATATCTACATCAATATATCTCTATCTCTATATATCCACTGCTTGCATTTGCCCTTGCAAGATGACCACCATCTCCTCTACCAAGCCTTCTTCCATTCTCCCAGCTGTCATGCATCATGCTCCTTTCCTCCTGTGGTCCTCATTGGACCACATAACCTCCCAAGATGTAATGGAAAATTGTCTATTCCCCTTTTCATCTTCTACCAGCCTGTGGAGTCGATTGAGGAAATGTGTCTTATTTCTCTGATCCCTCCTTATCCCCTACTCTGGCCCTAATGACTGTGAATGAGGAAGCATGCAAGGGGCATTCATTTCATTAAGCATTCATTGGGTAGATAGTGAACGAGAAAAGACAGGGAACTCATTGTCTGGGTATTGAGTAGCAGAAAATTATGACCACAGGCATCTGCAATAGGCAGTATGTATGGAAGGGGATGAGTGGTCTTCCCTCTGTGATTAGTCAGTGTGCTTTTCATCCTAAGGTGAATTAGAGAGTACTTAGCTCAGAAGAAGGTATCTCTTTCTTGATAGTAATGGGCTCCTTGGAAAAGAGAGGTGCCTGCTTCAGTTTGTCCGAGAGTCTTCAGATTGGAGCAATAATTCACACAACAGCAGGATTGGGGCTGGGAAGGTGGCTCAATGGTAGAGTGCTTGCCTTGCATGCATGAGGCCCTGGGTTTGATTCCTCAGGACCACATAAGCAGAAAAGCCAGAAGTGGTGCTGTGGCTCAAGTAGTAGGGCGCAACCTTGAGTTGAAAAGCTGAGGGACAGAGCCTAGGCCCAGAGTCTAGGCCCCAGGACTGGCAATAAACAAACAAACAAACAAATAAATAAATAAATAAATAAAACAAAAAAACAGGAAAAACCCCAGCAAGATCTTTTAGTCCAACAAAATGTAAAGGAAAGTAAGTATGTGAATAGTTAAGAGCAGCCTTTGAAAACCTGTATTTTTTCTGGATTTGGATTAGGATTTCTGAATCAGTCACATTTTGTGGGATCATCTTATACATCTTTCTTTCTAATGCATTTTTGATGTTATCATTAAGGTGATGTACAGAGGGGTTACAGTTACGTAAGTCAGGTAATAAGACCATTGTTTTCATTTTTTATTGTGAAAATACCATATAGAGGGGTTACAATTACATGGGCAAGATAATGAGTACATTTCTTATCAAGCATTGTTGCCTCCTCCTTTGTTTCCCCTTCCCATCCCTTCCATCTCCCCCCCCCCCCCCGTCCCCTCCCTCGCCAAAGTTGTAAAGTCGTTTTTCAACGTAACGACTTGTACATCTCATTGTTGCAATGGGTCCACCTGTATCCCTATTTAAACTATTGTTTTTTCCTTTCCCCTCCCCAAATTATACCAACATCAAATACAGTGAAAGCAGGGGTTATATCCTGGGGGAGGGACATACAAAGCAACAAAGAAATCATCTTATAGATATGTTAGAAACAATTGCATGAAAGAAAAAATATTTGAATACCTATCTTGGGGCTCATTTCACCTAACATCAACTTATCTGATCTTTTCTGCTTGTCTCAGACATATACTAGTTATTGCAAATAAGGGACACCACGGGACCTATGTTTCTTTGGGCCTGGCTTACTTCACTTAAAGTATTTTTTTCCAAGTCTTTCCATTTCCTAACAAATGGGGCAATGTCATTCTTTCTGATGGAGGCATAGAATTCCATTGTGTATATATACCACATTTATTCGATCCATTCATCTACTGAGGGGCATCTGGGTTGGTTCCATAGCTTAGCTATGGTAAATAAGGCTGCAATAAACATAGTTTATTGTGCTGGTAGCTTCAGTATGGTCTTGTTTGTGAGCATTTGGGTAAATGCCCAAAAGTGGGATTGCTGGGTCATAGGGGAGCTCTTTGTAGAGTCTTTTGAAGAACCTCCATACTACTTTCCAAAGTGCTTGAACAAGTTTACACTCCCACCAACAATGCAGTGAGGTTCCCTTCTGTCCACATCCCCTCCAGCATCTGTTGTTATTAGAGTTCTTGATTATAGCCATTCTAACTGGGGTGAGGTGGTATCTCAATGTTGTTTTGATTTGCATTTCTTTTATGGCTAGAGAGGTTGAGCATTTCTTCATGTGTCTATTGGCCATCCTTCTTTCCTCTTCAGAGAAGTTTCTCTTTAAGACTTTAGCCCACTTATTTATTGGGCAGTTGTTTCTTTGAGGATTTGTTGTTTAGAGATTTAATTTTTGGAGTCCCAGGTATATTTTAGATATGAGACCCTTGTCTGTTGTATGGCTAGTGAAGATCTTCCCCCAATCCATAGGTCTTCTGTTGATCTTGTTAGCTATATCCCTTGACATGCAGAAGCTCAGCAATTTCATGCAATCCCATTTGTCCAACCTTTTTTTGATTTTTTGTGTTTCTGGGTCTCTATTAAGAAAATTTTGGCCTGTGCCAAGGAGACCTAGGGTTTTTCCTATTCCATCCTGTAATGTTTTCAGAGTGTCTACTTTCACACTGAGGTCTTGGATCCATTTGGAGTTGATTCTGGTGCGGGGTGATAAGGATCTAGCTTTAGTTTTCTACAAGTATTTAACCAATTTTGCCTGCACCATTTACTGAAAAGGCTGTCTTTCTTCCATTCTACTTTTTTAGCTCCCTTATCGAAGATTAGATGGGTATAGGTCTGTGGGTTCATTTCTGGGTTTTCAATTCTATTCCATTGGTCCTGAGGTCTGTTCTTGTGCCAATACCAAGCTGTTTTGATTACTATGGCTTTGTACTAGAGTTTGAAATTTGGTATTGATATTCCTCCAGCACTGTTCTTTCTTTTGTTTTATTTTATTCCTGGCCTACTTAAATGTTTCTTTGGTCACTCATGGTCATCCCACAAGAATCAACACAGATACCCTGCTTATTTTTGTATTGGGAGGTTTATATTGTTTTCTTGGCACATAATTGTACCTTTACAAAGATAATGAAAATTGTTTTGGGCTATAATAGCCTAGTTTTTTCTTTTTTTTTTTAATTGTGAAAATACTGTACAGAGGGGTTACAATTACATGGGCAAAATAATGAGTATATTTCTTATCAAACATTGTAGCCTCCGCCTTTGTTTCCCCTTCCCATCCCTTCCCATCCTCCCCCCTCCCGCCCCCCCAATCCTCCTCCTCCCCCCACCAAAGCTGTAAAGTTTGTTTTTCCATATAATGACTTGTACATCTCATTATTGCAATGGATCTACCTGTATCCCTATTAAAATTATTTGTTTTGTCCCTTCCCCTCCACACATTATACCAACCTCAAATACAGCAGCACTGTTCTTTCTGTTAAGGATTGTTTTTGCTATTTGGGGTCTTTTATTGTTCCATATGAATTTTTGGATTGCCTCTTCTATTTCTTTGAAGAATGAGGTTGGAATATTGATAGGTATCACATTGAATTTGTAGATAGCCTTAGGAAGTATTGCCATTTTCACAATGTTGATCTTTCCAATTCAGGAGCATGGGAGGTTTTGCCACTTTCTAAGTTCTGTTTTGATTTCCTTTTTCAGGTTTTTAAAGTTTCGTCATAGAGGTCCTTCAGTTCTTTGGTTAAGTTAATTCCTAGGTATTTTATTTTTTGAATGAGCACATTTCTTTTGGGAAAATGTCACCCCTTTCCTCGTGGTTAGGTTTTCCCTCCTTTCCCCACCCACATATTGTAAAATTCATTTTCAACATAATGTCTAGTGAGTACCTCTGCTGCATTTGTTCACTCTTTCTCCTATCATTTCTATGTTCTCCTTACCTTCCCAAGGACAGATAGATATACAAACAATATAAAAAAGAAAACAAAAACAACAGCAAAGAAAATAACCCTTGTTTCCATTTCCTAGAGTTTATTTTAATAAGTATGACTTTATATTATCAGATACCCATAAGTATTGTTCCTTTCCTTAGAAGAATGCCCTTCTTTGGTCTTACTATGTGCCTAGAGATCTGTGTAATTTATCATGTCCCAGTGTATTTTTTTTTACTATACAGAGTCTTGTACATTTATAGGCACATTCTAGTTATTACAAATGCGAGAAGCCATGTAACCTATGTTTCTCTGGGTATGGCTGGTTTAACTTAATGTAAATTTTCCAAGTCTTTCCATTTCTATACAAATGGTACAATAACATTCTTTCTGATGGACAAATCAAATTCCATTGTGTATATATACCACATTTTCTTGATCCATTCATCCACTGAGAGGCATCTGGGTTGATTCCATATCTTTACTATGGCAAATAATGCTGCAGTGAACACAGTTGTATTGGTAGCTTTAGTGTGTCCTTGTTTGTGGTGTATTGGATAAATGCCCAGGAGTGGGATTGTTGGGTCATAGGGAAGCTTTATGTTTAATGTTTTGAGGAACCTCTATACTGCTTTCCAGAGTGGTTAAACAAGTTTATACTCCCACCAACAGTTCCCTTTTGGCCACATCCCTACCAGCATCTGTTATTAATTTTCTTGATAATGGTCATTCTAAGTGGGGTGAGTTAGAATCTCAATGTTGTTTTGATTTGCATTTCTTTTATGGCCAGATGTTCAACATTTCTTCATGTGTCTATTGGCCTTTCTTACTTCTTCTGAGAAGTCTCTCTTTAAATCTTTAGCTCATTTATTACTTGTGTTGTTGTTTTACTGAGGGTTTATTTGGAGGGGGTTTAATATTTTTAAGTAGCAGAATCTTTGGTTTCTACTGCATAGAGGCCAATAGCATCACCAGGCCCAGTTATAACAATCAAACATGTCTCTAGATATTATTCAATGTTCTTAGGAGAAGAGGAAACTCATTCCCAGTTGAAGATCCTAGACTAAATGGTCTCTAGTCTCTAAATGATGTTTTCCCCTAAGTGGTTACTCCTAAGGGGCCCTTGCACAGAATCAGGAACATGTTACAGTCTTATTTAATGTTACTTGTTCCTATTTTGGATTTCCCTTCAGAGGTCTTCACAGTGTGGTTGTTATTCATGTAGCACTGTGGCTGATACTTTAATATCCAACTTGGAAGAACATCTCATCTTGGGAAGTAAAATGGTTTGATTTGCTTTCTCAAGAAGGGTCCCTAGGGAAGTGTAGCCATTGGGAGTCAGGTGTTTACTAGAGTGGAGATGGAACATGATCACTCTGTACCAACCTCCCTCTGCAGGAAGTTCTTCAATTTAGCCTTTCATTGACTTGTTAATATTCCCCCTGGTATTCCTTTCTTTCTTCTTGGCTGATGAGACACAGTGCAAAAGCAGAATTACATAATTTTTTGCTTTCCTTTTTCCTTTCTTCACCAGCTAGAAGCAACAGGATACAACTTCCAGAACATCTTTCAGTATTGCTTTAGGTTTTTTTTTTGAGGAAATCAGCTTTCAGATTGACAATGAGAAGATAAATTTCCTTTATTCATATTAATATTCATATTCTTTTTCAGCATTCAAAAATATGTCAAAACAATATTAATGTGAAGCATTCAAATACCAGAATAGACAAAAATACAATTGAATTATTACAAATTGTCATATAGTAATTGTTCAAAACAAGTTGGTCTTGTGGCATAAATTAGAAATATCTATTTCTGCATTTTCTTGATCTAAGAGGAAAAATAATGCTGGAAAATAAGATATGCTAAAAATTAACAAAATGAATTAAGGATATTAATTATTTGTGTGTGTGCCAATACTGTAGCTTGAACTCAGGATCTGGGCACTGTCCCTTGGGATTTTTGTTCAAGGCTGCCTCTCTAACACTTGAGCCACATCTCTACTTGTTTTGGTCCTTAATTGGAGATGAGAGTCTCATGGATTTTCCTGCCTAGTGTGCTTTGAACTGAACTCTTCAGATCTCATCTCAGCCTCCTGGGTAGGTAGGATTACAGACATGAACCACCAGCACCTGGCCAAGGATATTAATTCTAACACCATAATATGAGCACCCAACCATTTCAGAAAATTAGCAATGAGCCTTGTTAAGATTTCAAATAGCCTACAATCAGAGGTCTAGTTGCTTTTGTTAATAAATTTCTTTATATTTTTCTAAATTAACTCCTCTCTCCTTTCCCTTCCCCTCCCCCTCCTCTCTCGCTTTCCCTTCCTTCTCCTTCCCTCTCCTCCCTTCTTACTATAAGTACACAATTGTTTAAATAGTGGGGACACACACACACACACACACACACACACACACACACACACACTCCTCTTATAAGGAATTCTAGTAAAGGTAGACAGGGACTGGCATTTTACCAGTACCCAAGAAATGTCTAGTTGCTAAAAAGAACTGGCTTAGTTAATATCAAAGCCAGGTCTGTTGGACTATGTGCCCATCTTCTTTGTTGGCAGTTGTGGGGCTGAAACTGCACCTGGGTGCTGTCCCTCAGCTCTTCAGCTCAAGGAATGCACTCTACCACTTGAGCCACAGCACCACTTCAAGTTTTCTTGTTGGTTTGTTGGAGATAAGAGTCTCATGGACTTTCCTGCCCGGGCTGGCTTTGATCCTCAGATCTCAGCCTCTTGAGTAGCTAGGATTACAGGCGTGAGCCACCAGCACCTGGCTGCCCATCTTTTTTCTTATTGTGAAGAGTTGCCCCGGTTCATTTATTTTGCACTTCTAAGTTTTAGATCATTGTATTTTACAAAGGAAATCTAGGCACATGAAGAAATGCTCAACTTCTCTAGCCATAAAAGAAATGCAAATCAAAACAACATTGAGATATCACCTCACCCCAGTTAGAATGGCTGTAATCAAGAACTCTAGTAACAACAGATGCTGGAGGGGATGTGGACAGAAGGGAACCTTACTGCATTGTTGGTGGGAGTGTAAACTTGTTCAACCACTTTGGATTTTTCTTCTTAATGGAATTTGTTTACTTTCCAGTCAAGCAATTCAAGCCTCTTCTAGCAAATTCTACAGAGGGCATTTTTTCCATGAGTATGAATTTTTCCATATTCTCAATATTAAGACAATTTCCAGTTAACCAGGACGTGAGACCTTAGAAGGAGACTTGAGTTCTCTGTTCTTCTCAGAGTAATTTAGGATTAAGTCATTCGAAGACCTGTCATACAACGGTATAAGTGACATTAATTATTTAGATTAACTGGGTGAAAAAAAGAATTGGAAATCAGTTTTGCCTTGCCTAGAGATACCAGAGAATCTGAGAATATTAGAGCTAGAAGGGGCCTTATTCATCCCCAGTTCAGTCCCCATAATTTTCTGGAAGTGGAAATCAAGTTTCAGATTAGCCAAGGCAGGCAGTTATTGGTCATCACACTGCCTCTCATACTAGGGCTGTTTCTCCTCTATCATGCTGTCTCTTATCCACCATGTAAATGGCATGCACAGGAAGTTAAAGAAATTTGAATGGAGTCTTCCTAAAGGGTAAAGAAATACTATATTAAAATTTACCCTTGTATTTCAAATGGTAGGCTAAATATAATCAGCCCTCAGCCAACTTTGAAACAGCAACATTTGCTATTGAATAGTGAATAGTTTTATATTTTTAGCAGGGGTTTTCCACCTCCCACTTACCTGCTACTATTGCAGAATGCATGATGACGGAAGTATAATTCCCTATTTCATTCCTGAAAAAAAAAAATGATTCCAGCAAGGTGACATGGATGTTAACAAAGCGTAGTTGGCATGAAACAGTCATTTCTAAATCATGACTCCACAGTGTATAGCTTTGTAAGTATTTAGTTAACAAAAAACTGTTAAAGAGCCTGCAGGTTCTTGCCCTGAGATGAAGAGAGAAAGGCTGTTAGAAGAGGAAGATGGCAGCTTGGCATATGCCTTTGGAATGTGACTAAATTCTACTAGGTCTTTTCAGATAAATCCAGTCACTAATTGCGATAATATGGCATGGTTTTGGTAGATACAGCCTTTGGATAAAATTACCTTTACTTGGGGATTGGGAAGTTGGCTCAGTGGTAGAGCACTTGCCTTGCATGCATGAGGCCCTGGGTTCAATTCTCCAGCACCATATAAGCAGAAAAAGCTGGAAG